CTTTCAACGGTGCGGTGGATAGTTTAAGCCCCTCAAGAAATTTAGTAAACATGCTCTCAACTTCGGTCGTCATGGATGTTTTCAATGTCTCCAAGGCTACATTGAACTCCTCACGAGAGACCAAAGTTCCCCCATCACCCGTAGATGAGATAGGATTCACACCGGAGTGTTCCTCCGTTCCGTCTACGGTATCAACCATACTCTTCGGACGGTAAAGTCCTTAATAAAGAGACGAGGCTCTGATATCAATTGAAAGGATCGATATGGTTGACTAGAGGGGGGTGAATAGGCAACTAACAAATTTTAGCTTTTCTTTAACATTTTAAACTTTGCAACAAAATAGGTTGTCTAGATATGCAACTAGATGAGCAACCTATATGATGCAACACGAATAGGAACACAAGCAAGCAAGATGTATGAGACAAATAAGCTATACAAGTAAAGGCACGAGATAACCAAAGGTGGAGACGGTGGAGACGAGGATGTGTTGGCGAAGTTACTTCCCTTTGAGAGGAAGTACGTCTCCGTTGGAGCGGTGTGGAGGCACAATACTGCCCAAGAAGCCACTAGGGCCACCGTAATCTCCTCACGCCCTCACACAATGCGAGATGCCATGATTCCACTATTGGTGCCCTTGGAGGCGGCGACCGAACCTTTACAAACGAGGTTGGAGCAATCTCCACAACTCAATTGGAGGCTCCCAACGACACCTCGAAGCTTCACCACCATGGACTATGGCTTCGCGGTGACCTCAACCGTCTAGGATACTCAAACACCCAAGAGTAACAAGATCCGCAAGGGATTAGTAGGGGGAATCAAATATCTCTTGGTGGAAGTGTAGATCGGGGCCTTCCCAACCACTCCCAAGCAAATCAACAAGTTTGGTTGGCTAGGGAGTGAGATCGGGCGAAAATGGAGCTTGGAGCAATAATGGAGCTTTAATGGTGGAAGAGGTGAGTCAACGGGGAGGAAGGAGACTCTTTATATAGTGTGTGGAAAAGATCCAACCGTTACCCACCTACCAGCCCGTGGCCAGCGGTACTACCGCGCATGGACAGCGGTACTACCGCAAGGCCGCGCGGTAGTACAGCTTGCAACCAAGCGATACTACCGCATGGCAGTGCGGTACTACCGTACCACCCTGCGGTACTGCCGCGACCCCCAGCCAGGTAAATAGACGCAAGCTGGGGCGGTACTTCCGCACGCGCGGTACTACCGCGCCCACAGGGCGGTACTATCGTAAGGCAAAAATCCCGATAGGGGGAAAGGGGAACTTCCGTGCATACTTCCGCAAAAGAACGGAAGTAGCAAAAACTCAACACAGTAGGGCTTCCGAGGGGCGGTACTACTGCCTGACCGCCTAGCGCGGTACTACCGCACGGCGAAAGCGGTACTACCGCGGCAGGTGCGGATGTAAAAAATTACATCCGCACCTACTACCGCAGCCGAGCGGCACTAGCTTGATGGGGCAGCGGTAGTACGACTTTAGGGGAGCGGTACTACCGTGAGCACTAGCGGTACTACCGTGCCACTGTGCGGTACTACCGTGGATGCCCACGGTACTACCGTTGACCCTGGAGCGGTACTACCGCAACCACACAAAACAGCCAGTCAACTATGGCAGGAAAACGGAGGAAGCTCCAAGGAAGAAGGAGGGGATAAAAGAAGACGTGTATGAGATGATTCCACCCAAACCTTTCCAACGCGGACCCCCTCTTAATAGTACGGCTTTCCTACGACTCAAATCCACCAAAAAGAAACGTAGAAAAGACGCCGTCTTCGTCAGTCTTCGAGGGGCACCCAATCGTCTTGTGCCTAGCAGAGAAGAGTCTGGAAAGCTCATGGCACACGATTAGTCCGCAAATGCGTTGTCATCAATCACCAAAACACTCAGGGATAAATATGGCCTTACAGACATGTTGGTGTCTATGTATTCACACATGTATTACGATTTCCGGATAACACAATTATAGCATGAATAAAAGACAATTATCATGAACAAGGAAATATAATAATAATCCTTTTATTATTGCCTCTAGGGCATATTTCCAACACATCTGCCCTAGGGTTTGCCCCCTTTCCTTCTTGGAGGCGCCTTGGGCCTTGGTGGGAGGCGCCCCAGCCCACCTAGGGGCTGGTCCCTTCCCACTATTGGCCCATGTAGGCCTCCGGGGCTGGTGGCCCATCCCGGTGGATCCCCAGACCCCTCCAGTGGTCCCGGTACACTACCGGTGATGCCCGGAACACTTCCGGTGGCCAAAACCATACTTCCTATATATCAATCTTTACCTCCGGACCATTCCGGAACTCCTCGTGACGTCCGGGATCTTATCCGACACTCCGAACAACATTCGGTAACCGCGTACATACTTTCCCTATAACCCTAGCGTCATCGAACCTTAAGTGTGTAGACCCTACGGGTTCGGGAGTCATGCAGACATGGCCGAGACAACTCTCTAGTCAATAACCAACAGCGGCATCTGGATACCCATGTTGGCTCCCACATGCTCCACGATGATCTCATCGGATGAACCATGATGTCAAGGATTTCAATCAATCCCGTATACAATTCCCTTTGTCTATCGGTACGATACTTGCCCGAGATTCGATCGTCGGTATCCCGATACCTTGTTCAATCTCGTTACCGGCAAGTCTCTTTACTCGTTCCGTAATAAGTCATCCCGTGATCAACTCCTTGGTCACATTGTGCACATTATGATGATGTCCTACCGAGTGGGCCCAGAGATACCTCTCCGTTTACACGGAGTGACAAATCCCAGTCTCGATTCGTGCCAACCCAACAGACACTTTCAAAGATACCCGTAGTGCACCTTTATAGCCACCCAGTTACGTTGTGACGTTTGGCACACCCAAAGCACTCCTACGGTATCCGGGAGTTGCACAATCTAATGGTCTAAGGAAATGATACTTGACATTAGAAAAGCTTTAGCATACGAACTACACGATCTTGTGCTAGGCTTAGGATTGGGTCTTGTCCATCACATCATTCTCCTAATGATGTGATCCCGTTATCAACGACATCCAATGTCCATGGTCAGGAAACCATAACCATCTATTGATCAACGAGCTAGTAAACTAGAGGCTTACTAGGGACATGGTGTTGTCTACGTATCCACACATGTATCTGAGTTTCCTATCAATACAATTCTAGCATGGATAATAAACGATTATTATGAACAATGAAATATAATATAATAATAACCAATTTATTATTGTCTCTAGGTGATATTTCCAATAGTAGTGGCCTTTTGCGACGGTGGGGAGACAGTTCAAGTGTCGCCCATGTTTGGCTTGTCGATGCAACCGACGCTCAATGCTTGCCCGGTGTGGCCCTCCTCTGTGTTCTTACTTGGCTAGTTAATGTAGGCATAGTGCTGGCCGTCGGCATCAATGTTTCTGTTGTTGCCATTGTGTTGTTCTGTCGTGCCTTGTATCTTCCTTTCCGCTTTGCTTTGCATTTCATCTGTGTTGTGGTGCCTTTGTAATCCTGACCGGTTGATGGCTTTGTTAATTTAATGATGGGCTAGGTTCGAGTTCTTCTCGGGCTCGATCGACGCCTTTTCTCTAAAGAAAAAAAGCGTGACAGCCCAATAAATCAGGGTGTTGTGCTTTATAGCATAAAGAAAAAAGGAAAAACATTGGTGTTCCATTTTTTGGTTAACCATAGCATAAAGAAAAAAAAGGGAAAAACATTGGTGTTCCAATTTTTTGGTTAACCGATGGTTTTAAGATATATACCGAACAAACCGAAGATCCAAATGGTATGGAAATCTCATACGATACCGAAAAGCTCGGTCCGCGGACTTTTGATGTGTATGTTTTGATGTAGACCGTTAGAGATGCCCTAAATCTGCTAGCAAAGGTGAAGAGGGCCGGGTGGAACAAAAATTTGGCGTCCATCCAAATATATAATACCTAAATAGTTCATCCCATTATGTTATTTCTCTTGACATGCAGCCTATTCACATCAGCAATAGTGCCACATCAGTGTTTTATTAGAGACTTGCAAGAGGGACCCACCACCTTACAAAGCAACCACGTTAGCTTTGAGTTACCACTGGTAGTCCACGAGAAACTGCCCACAGACGTCTTCTTCCTCTTCCGCCTTTGGTAATCGAGGAGTCAGTCTAGCGTTTTTATTACTCTCAATACTGTGTGTAACCGAGGAGTCAGCCTGGCAAACCCATGCAATTATGCTTCTATGTAATGTATATTGTAAACTACACAATAATCAAGTACATTAAATCAAAGTATTATTTCCAGTTCCGGTTGTCATTTTATTACCAATGTTCGTAATCCTACAAAGAAAAATAATCCCACTCAAATATATTGCAATCAATTTCCATAGCAACGTGCGGGGTATCATCTAGTAGTTGTCTAAAGTGTAGTCAACATTTTTTTCTTTTTGTTAGGCGCTCCAAGGCATCGATCCAAACAGTCCCGTAGGGATAGATCTTTAAAATCAGTGGAGATGGAATGTTGATGTTAAAATCAAATTTTGGCAGTATAGTTATTCTAAATGAAATACATTATTTTACCAACTAAATCACCCCTAAAAAATTGTGTGCAAATTAGAAAAAATCCTGCAATGAAAGTTGTTGGCAACGTTTTTTTCTTGCTGTTTTTTTTAAACTGTTTTTTTTCTTATTGCTAAGGGAATAAAAGGGACACCCAGGGGCTGCCTAGTCTGACACGTTACTTAGGGGGTGTTTGGTTCAGAAGTCCTAGGACTTTTTCTAGTCCCAGGGACTAATCAAAAAAGACTCTCTAGTAGAGTCTTTTTCTAGTCCGTGTAGAAAAAGTCCCTTCCGTTTGGTTCCTAGGGACTTTTTAGGGACTTTTTCTAGTCTCTGGGACTAAAAAGTCCCTGAACCAAACATCCCTTTAGAGTCTTGGACCTTGCCCAGCCCAAAGCAGCTCGGCGGCGCTCTAGGGTTTGCTCGATTGGCTCGGCGGTGGCGGCGGCTGGTGAATTGGCGATGGCATCTGTAGAGGAGTTGGAGGATGAAGAGGAGGAGGAGGAGGAGGAGGAGGTGGAGGGCTTAGAGCCTTTATTGTATGACCAGGCAAAGTGGGTGGCCTGGGCGGTGGAGGAGAAGGAGAGGTCCCGGCGGGAGGAAGAGGAGAAGGCTCGGAAGCGGGAGGAGAACCGGCGGAGAAGCGAGGCACACGACAAGGTCATGGACTCCATCATCGAGCACGATCCCAAGGTGGGGCGCGACGTCTACACCCGGTTTTTCCTCAGGGACTTCTCCATCTTCAACATCGACGAGGAGTGTAAGTGGCCTCTCATTTTCTGAAGCTGTAGTAATTTTTTCTGATTGACAGTAACTGAATTACGTTACAGTAGGACGTCTCTCACCTGTATAATCCTCTGTTAGGAGAATCCTCTGACATGCCATGTTGATTGATTGTTGATGCATAGCAGTAAAAAGCAAATCTCAGTCCTAGATTGGATTCAGTTTCAATTAACATCAGGAACTCACTGATTTGGCTAAAACTGAAATTAACTTCCTACAGATGCCGAGATGATAGTTTCCTCTTGAAGTTAACAGCGAATCTCAATTCATATACATAGATTTGATTCATATGTTTATCGCTTAACAACAGGAATCACTGGTTTCGCTAAAATTTAAATTAACTTGGTTCGAATGGTGAGATGATAGCTTTCTCTTGTAGTTAACTCGCAAGTCAAAATAAGAATATTAGATGGTTTAACTCAGTGGGATATAAACAGGAAAAACACAAATTGGGCCTGTTTACTGTGATGAAATAATCTGACAGATATATTTTGTTTATTCATCGCAGCGTCTGTCCCTCCAATGCGATACACCGATAGTATCTACCAAGATGAATTTGGGCTAGAAGACTCTGCAAACATCCTCTCCGTCAGCATAGTCTCCTCAGATGTAGGCTTCCCAGTCAATGTCTATGGCCGTGTCATTGCCAGAGACAACATTGACTACAAGTGCATTTATCTCTTTCACCGCAATAGAGATGATTGCCAGCATCTCAACAAGGTACATCCTTGCTTCTAAGTTCGTTCCAATCGGGTTTCGTTTTATCAGGTGATGCATTTAATATCAACTGTTAATTGGCATCTAAATGGAGTCATCTTAGTGCTGGTGGTTGTCGATCCAGACAGTCATCTGCATATAAATGGAGTAGCTTTTATTGCATGCTTCCAATCTTCATTTTGAGCAGTGTTTGGATGAGCATACTCTAACCTCTCGTGCAATTCTTTTCATAGGATGGAATGCTGATTTTAACTGGCCCATATCGAGGTCTAGTGCTGGTTGATTTCATCTATCTAGAGATAGATCTTAAAATAAGGGAAGAAGGAGTTCCAGACAGGCCATTTAGCAAGGGTCTAATAAGCATTGATGGCCGAGTACTGTCTAGAGAGAAAGATGTCATGGTTAGAAGTGAAATCCTTGAGAGCTGGCTCAGCACTACGGAAGTGAGATTCGCAACTGTTCTCAACGCAGTCGAGTGCACCATTGAAATCAAGCTTCTTGAGGGCCGTTTCAAAGGAAATATAATAGTTGGCATCTCAGATAAAGATCGCAATCTGGACACTGAACAAACAATTGTGATTCATGACAGCAGGACAGATGGCATGGTGACAAGTGATCAGAGTGGAGTTATCAAACTCCGGCGAAGTGTCATTACTATCTGTCTAGAAAGAATGCTGGTGTTTCAGATTAATAATAATAAGGCTGCTGGCGGTTGTGCTCAACGAACCTTTGATTTAACACCGGGCCGCACTGGTGCAGATGAATTGGAAATTATGTGTGGTGCTGTGAAGTTTGGATTCAGGGTCGTCTGGTCCTTGATGGACTTTAGACTGTAATCATCTGCCTTTATAAACTAAGTTGAACTAAGTTATATCGCGAGTCAGTGATGTAATGGATAAGTAGATGTAGTGGACTGGGTTATATCGTGGTGTAATGATGTAATGAACTAAGTTAATCATGGTGTAATGATGCAGTGAAAGTTAATCGTGATGTAATGATGTGGTGCACTTTATATTATTGTTATTAAGTAATTTGACTTGATGACTTATAAGTAATGATGTAGCGAAGTTATATGTATTATGGTGGTGTGTTATGAATTTGTTGGCTTAATTTTTTGCCCTAATTAAAGTAGATTAGTGCACTTGGCGTATTGTTGACAAGTCTTAGGCAGAAATATGAATATATGTCACTGTTAAGGGATTCTCTACCATATTTATTTATGGTTTGTATTGATTGCTCATGGTCACTTCTTTGTTATCTAAATATCCTGAAAATTAAAATATTTGCAAGATGGCTTTGCAGTGCATTTCTGTGCTATTATTCTGAACTAACTTCTGAAGTACAACCTAGGTTCAACTAGGAAGGCAAGAGGCACCTGCATATTCTCAGTTCTAAACCACATGTTTGTTGGGAAGGAGTGTCCTGCCTGAGAAAGCACATGCATGTGTTCAAGCCAATTTTTCTGGTACATAAAAAATTGAAGGATGTTTACAAAGGAAACGATCTTCAAGACACCATGCCGCCAGAGATACTTTTTCTTCTTCCCATGTTCTCTTTTATAAACTGTGTTGGTTTTGGGCTACTGGCAATGCCTCTATATATGCATATGTGGATATGCAAATTTAGAGCATTTCCAGTTGCGCCCCCAACAAGCCCCCCCAGGCGATTTTTCGGCCGCCGGCACCAAAAAGTCGGCTCAGTCGCGCCCCCAAGGGCCCTCGCCGGCTCAGGCCGAAATTGGCGCCGGCGGACCCAACCCGAACCCGGCGCGCTAGGGACGCTCGAGGGCGCCGGGTGAATCGTTTTTGGCGCGAAAGAGCCGTGGGCCCTCCTTGCCAGCGACTCGTCTCGCTTCTCGCCGCTTCGTTGTCCTCATCACCTTGTTTCCCGTGGTGAATCAATGCCAAAACTGCCGCGCGCTGCCGCACCGATCAGCCTCCGCCATTAATGCCTCATGGCGGCGCAGCGAAGGCGTGACGACGCGCGTTCCCGCGCATGCCACGCGTAGACGAGGCGGCCACGCGTGCTCGCGCCGCCTCCGCCTATATAAGCTGACCCCAGCGCGTCGGTGGCACGCACAGAGTCTCCACCACCGACGCGCCCTCTCTCCCCTTCCTCCCTCTCCCCTCGCCGTCCCAGTTCAAAGAAATGGTTAAACGATTCCCAGGCGACGGCGCGGCGGCGAACGGCTTCGGCCGCCGCCACCTTCACGAGGACGAAACTCGGCTCCTCTTCGAGACCGAGTACCCGGTCCCGCCGGACAAGCGGGTGCCCGGGGCGTGGAGAATCAGCGCCGGCAGGGTCCCGGTGCCACCACCGCCCACCGGGGCGGCGCGGCGTGCGAAGATCGCACGTATCCGCGCCTCTCTGCCGCGGGCGGCGAGGGAGGGGCCGCGCTACGTCACCGACAGCCCGCTCTGAGAGTCGTACTTCTGCCGCCGTCAAGCCGAGCAGCTCGAGGCCACCAACGGCGTCGTGCCCTCCGGCAGGCTCAACTCTGAGGGGAGGCGCCGATGGTGGGGCGTGCCCGGCTGCACGCTGGAGGCCGTCCTCGAGTACATCGAGGGCGGCAACACGCCGAGGCTGGAGTACCCCTTACCCCGTCCTTCTCTCGCCGCCGTGGGAGCTCGTGGACGCCGAGGCGCATGGACCCCGGGGCGTCCTCCTCCTCATCCGGTCGGTCGACCGGCTCTTCCTGCCTCCGCCCCATCAAGCCGGAGCCCCAAGACACGTCCGTCAAGTCGGAGCCCTAGGACACGCCTGTCAGCCGGCGCACCTGCAGCTCCGGTGTCCGCATCGCCGACTACACCCCCGCTTCTGGGTGCCTCGTCCTCGTCGCGCCCAAACCGGAGCCCAGCCTCCCCCCGGAGTACGAGGAGATAGCCCGGCGCGGCTTCTCCGGTGCGGACTATGTTGCAGGGATACGGCAGAGAAGTGCCGAATCGGTGCAGGATACTGCACCGGAACGGGGATACGCCCAGATACGCGTGGGATACGCGTGTCCGTACGTATCATATTTTTTCGAATTAAAATAAAGAAAAAAATCGGAATACGGCTGGGACACGCATGGGATACATCAGGGATTCGTAAGGGCCTGCTACCACTCGACTCTGCAGTCAGACGGCCTAATCGATTGGATAAATAAACCTAATCGCTGGAATCTTTCCTCTCGCCGTCACATGGCAGTTGCCAAATCGCTAGACTCGATAGTTTCGGCGCATCTCCAGACTGCCCTTCGGCGCCGCCGACCAGACCTCACAGTTCGTCTCCATTCTTCAAGTCTTTGCCATCCAGAATCTGTACGCAAGTAAGGTTCAATCCATTGTTTCAGGATCTCTGTTTTTTTGCATGCTATGGATTAGGATTTAGGGCAGAACGAAGGGGATCTAGCTATCTATTTTTCTCAACGTTAGGCAACGTCAATCCTCTGTTAACAAGTATACCAATCCTAAATTACCCCCTGTGGAGATACTCATCCTTCCAAAGAAATTGTTTTTTGGTTATGATTTTTTTTATGCATTTGTACATATACTCGTTGTATCCCCGTAAGTCTATTTTCAGAAAATGCCGTTTTCTCGTGTCGCCGTATTCGTATCCCCATACCCGTATCCCCGTACCATGTAACATAGGATGCGGACGCCCTACGGTGGGCGCGTGACGACTACCTCTGGACTGAGATGGCCCGGCAGACCCGGGCCCTGGAGGAGATCGTCGCCCGCAAGCGTGGGCGCGAGGACGAGCACGGCGTCGTGATCCTCGACAGCGACGACGACGAGGATGCCGCCGGATCGTCCAACCCGCCGCGCCAACCGGGGGAGGGTTGCAGCAGGGACGACAGCCACGACGGAGGCGGCGACGACGACGACGACGGCGGCGGCGACTACACGCGGTTCTACAGCCTCCTCGGCATGTAGAACTGCAAGGACGGCGGCCGGCGAGGAGCGGCGAGGCGAGCGAGACGGCGAGCGGGCCTAGTAGTGTTTTTTTTTCTTTTTGTAAAATATTTTAAATATGTAGAGTGGGCGTGTTTGTGCCGTGTTTGGTTGAATTTGCTTTGAAGTCGCCGAAATATGTATGAACTCGCCGAAAATGGTTGAATTTGCGTCATGTTTGTGCCGTTAAAAAAAATTCCGTGGGCGCCGCGATTGGCTGGCATCACGTCCCCAACGCGCGTTTTGCGCCGGTGCGCCCCCAGGGGGCGATTTTTAGCGTCTCCTGGGGGGCCAACGGCTGGAGATGCTCTTAGGACATCTGTAATGATTTTTCTGCTAAATCAAGTATATTACCTAGGGCATACATTTGTTTTCCCACTAAATCAAGTATATTACATAGTGCCGTTCCTGTCATTCGTGAATGTTAACAATTCATGATTTTTACAGTATATGATTTTGCTCTTAAGTTATGCATGAGTGTAATTTCTTGTTCTAATATGCTAGTGCGTGAAGTAGATGTTGACAAGAAGTTTACTGGAAAATGCTGGAATTGCTGACTTGGCTTCATGGATTTAGAACGATGAGAGGATAAAGGTCAGTATGTTGTAATATTTGCCACTTCAATCTGAACTTCTGAATGATTGCCATCTCTACCTTGAAAAACCCTTTTTTTGTAACGCTCTTGATGGTTTGGCCTAACTAGCTGTCTTGAACGCATTGATGAGCACCAAGAGGCATGCTTCTCCTGACCATATTTTAAGAAATGATCAACACTTGATCGATTTTCTGTGAATCATTATTCAAACAGCACAAAACAAAGGTTCATCCTGTCTTCTGTTCTTACACACCTTGAGGGCTGTTATGAAACCAGTGGACTGGTAACAATTGAAGATGGTAACTTGAAATAAAATGGACTGGAATCACGGATCTTCAGGCCCAGTAAATAAATCTGGAGTTATAGAACATCAGAATTATAATACGTTGAGCATGAACTGAAAACCTGAAATAGTATAGAACAGAACATCACAGGAGATTGACTTGATTAATGCTTTCCTCACTGCCACTGCCACTTATTTCCTCTCTGTTTTTGCTCCAAGCAAATGGACAACCAAGAGAACGGACAAAATGAAAAGAAATTTTCTTTGGAACGCGAATGAGGAGGCTAAGGGGAGGGGATTACGTTATCTACCAATTTTTTGTACTTCAAAAGTTGATAAATTTAAATAAAAAACTCTGTACGTGTGTGTTTGAATAGCAGACTTTCATTGGTGGGCTCAGTACCTGAAGCATTTTGTTCATGCATGTTGTACCCCTTAATTTTAGATATATTTGAGATTTTTTGTTGTTATACAGGTTTTCTATAATAATCTGCCATGTAAATTTCAAAACAAAAGAAGTGCATGCTTCAAGAAGATTCAAATCTTCCTACACAAATGTTGAGTCACCAAGTGAAAAGCTAATGGAGGGGCAGGGTTGAAGGTGCACTTGGTGTTTTGTAAGACATGCATTAGGCTGAAATATAAACGTCCTGCGTTATCTAAATTCGTGAAAATTTAAATATTTAGAATGTGGATATGCATTGCATTTGGTCGCTGTTATACTGAACTAACTTCTGATGCCCAACCTGGGTTCCCAGTTCTGAACCATCAAATCCATCAACTTCCATTAGGAAGCGCCTGTATGTACTTGGTCTTGTGCAGTGCCGCATGTTTGTTTGGAAGGAGGAAGTGGCTTTATTTTCATAATATCCATGTTGCCTGTTCAAGTCAATACAAAAATTGGCTGGTACATAAGAAATTTAAGTATCTTCTTTAAAAATGATCTATATGGCACCATGACGCAAGAGGTACTTTTTCTACCCATCTTCTCTTTTCTAAGCTGTGGTAATTTTTTGTTCTATATGC